TTTTTTTTTTTTTTTTTTTTTTTTTTTTTTTTGTTCTCATGGCTTAGAACCGATCAATTTTGGTAACAATTAACCACTAGATTTTGTCCAATAACTAGTTGTGACCAAATAAAAGTGAATAGTAGAACTGTTCTATACATCCATTTCGATGCGCAAACAATTTATCGAACTCTAAAATGACAATGAATTTTTTTTATTCACGTAAAAGTAATAAAAATTTTTTTTCATAGTCTCAGCTGTTGGCAAGCAAAAATTTTTTTTTTCTGAAGAGATAGGGAAACGACGAGTATTAAAAAACAAGAGGATAAACAATCTTTTGCACTTCTCCCGAGCAAAATACAAATTTTACGATGGAATTTTAATAAATTGTTAAACGTTAGATGCGAAAAATTAGCCGAAGTTTAGTTTGCAACTGAAAGATAACTGCGATATTGGAAAGAAAGTACTCTGCAAGTTGGCAAATTGCCAAATGTACTGTTAAGAATCCTCGAGAAATTGTTTTGTATGTTACAGCTGTGTGTCGCTGTGAATGCCCTTTAGTGTAACTGGTAGCAGTTTATTAGTGCTCATGCAATCGACCGTCCGTTATGATATCCATGCTTTTTGATTGTTTACTACCATCAGCTTGATTTATGTTTTCAGTTCAAGTGTTCTTTGATAGCTTTAATATATTCCATATCTGATGGTTTCTAACGTGGTTTTTTTTTTTGCACTATCATTTTTTGTGTTTTTAATTGCCACTTTTTGTTTTTCCACCTATTTTGTTAGTTCTGCATTATGCAAAACTTTTTGGTAAATTTTATCTGTGTAGATGTCTGTGTAGATGTAAAAGGCAGAAAATCTGGTTGTTTGTTCATTAGTTATAAATTGGCATTTCTGATATCTGCTTGATGCCTTTGCTCAAAAAATAAATGGTTGGGGAATGATGTTTCGGCTTAGCTTCTTATTTGGTGTTGCTAGAACAGTTTTCTTTATACTTCAAAAGTTGACAGTATTCATTTGCTGGACTGATGCTGATCAGAATGCTCAGGGTAATACACGTTAGGTTTTCCTCATTGTCTTTTGCATTTTAGGAAGTGCAGACCATAACTTACTCATGTAACAAGTTGGAAAAACAGCCTCAAAGCTAAAAATTTGCTGAAAAAAAGGAGGCAGATGTGATTTTTATGCGGTAATGAGGAGGTGCAACAGCCTTCCACAAGTGGTTTTTGTAAGTCCAAAAGACGAGAAAGTAAGGTAAGCTATAAGTTTTTACTAGGACTCTGTAAACTGTCTTTAGTTGTTTTTTATGAATGGTTATGAATTGGTTTTCATCTTCTCTTAAGGCCTGGTGGTCACGTACACTTTCGCCTGTATCCAAAAGTATCGCTGTCGCGGATAAGGTATAAGGGAAGGCACAGTTTAAACAGAACGTTTCGAGGTCGATATTTTGAGTTTTTTTTGACTTTAATTTACGGGTTACTGTTGATAAGTAGAAGGATGTGAGAACGAATTTCTGCACTTAAGCAAGAATAATA